CTTCTCCGGATGTCTGGATTGAGTTTGCAGGTTCGAATGCCTTCAGTTGATTACGAGTGAAATATTTGCAAAGCTTCTCAATTTTTCAGGGTGGTTCCAGTACGGTCACTGTCGGTCGGCATGCAACTCTTCACGCCGATCGATTACGAAAATATGATAGGAATATGTTTTTATATAGTACACTGACCCGTTTCACCGTGTGCCTTCAGTTGCTCCCGACGTTCTGTGTACTTGTACGTCAAAATTAAAGTACGTCGAAATAGTCAAATGTCAATTAATCCGGCATCGTCACTTTGTTCAGCATATTTTCAACGTCAAGCGCATATCACAATATTCACGAAGAACTCTTTCTTCGCAAAACGCGACTTGATGTCTGAATCGATCTTGAGCTTCGCATACGAACGAACCAATCTTTAGGGTGAATATTACGTAATAATACCGTATATTCGTACATAACTTGTCCTCTATGACGTCACAAATAAAACTGTCCACTGTGTTGGATTGTCAATTGTCATGTTCATTCCGAACAAAAGTGCAATGGCGATTTACTTCGAGCTTTAAGGTTAGTAGGTATTACCAATGACATATAACAACATGATGCGCAACTCCGGCATTTTTGTCCGAAGATCGTATTCGATAGCACGCTCCAATGCACATACTTGACGAGACGAAAACGAGCGGATGTGTGCTGCTTTCAAGGCGTAGCACGAATGGTGTTCGTGCCTGCTTTGACAGTTGTTGTCGATTTTAATGATATTTTTGAAAGTTGGGGTAAGAAGAAATCGGTAAAAGGTAAGGTGAATACTATTGTTGTATATCACACCCGGGCATCGCACTGTTAAGTACATGTGGGAAAGCCAGCCTTTGTCAAATACTACGGTGTTATTAATTCAGTACGGTACGTAGTTGCCCATTTGCCGAAATTACATATTTACTTACTCCTTATGGTTTCAAATAGTTCATGCACCTCCAGTTAGATTTTTTTAATCAGTGAGGATATATACTCATTGTTGATTGCTGCTCATTGTAACATACTATTACGCATTCACTTTTATTTGCGTATTGAATCAAAGTGTTAACAAGTTCACCTAACATTTCACTCATACCGGTCTATATTGTATAGTCTGATTTCTCAAGTATTTGGAGCCACGAATGCTTGTAATTTTCTGACTAAACCCTTTTATTAGTTGGTTTATTTTTTAAAATTCAGTAAAATATTTTTTAAATAAAACATGAGATATTGAATTTATTAGCTTTTCCATTCTGAATCATATAGACTGCTTTATTTATTCTTAACGAAAATTAATAAATCTCCTCTCTTTCTTCAGATGTGAAATTGGGGACAAACCTGTCTAAGCATTGTGAGCAATAGCAGAAATAGTAAGTATATCAATCAAGAAATTAAGCCGACATAAAGCAAAACTTTCAACTATTCGTCTAATCTCAATTTCCTATTATTTATTCACAGGACAACTATAGCAGACGGGGAGATATCAGAAGTCTGGCGACATATCAGTGACAGTGTGATTCCAAGAAATATAATGCAATTGAAAACAGAAAATTGCAATAGAAAAACAACCTATGGAGACATGCAAAGACATTTGACCCTCCGGTAGAGTTGTGTATGGTCCCCACATCCTGCAGGGCTTGAGGAAAATAACTAAAAATTCCAAAGCGTAAGATTGCATAAGCGGTCTTATTTGTAAAAAGGCACAAAACACGCCAGACATACTTAAAACAGCTTTGGAAATGAGGATTACGGGTACCTCACTGCACCTGTGTTATATTTGGTTCATCAACTTTTGGTAGTACTATAGAAGAAATTCCGGAAGGGGTATAATCATCATTCATGATAAAATACTATCATATATTTTTTGAACAACTTCAATCTAGACCAGGGATCTCAAACTCGCGGCCCCAGAGAACTTCCAGTGCGGCCCTCGAACGCTTAACAATAATTGTAATAGTATTTTGGAAGTTTTTTTTTTATCTAAATGTAATAGATTTTCAAACCTTCTAAAGTGAAATTGATTATTCACACAGAAAACAATTTACTGAAAGTAGTTTTGGAATATTAATTTTTTTTGTCCACATTTTGACCCAATTAAGAATACACATCAAGCTAGCAAAAGAATACTTGAATAAAACACTTGAGTAATTAAATTAAACGCAAAGTACACGAAGAAGGTGGCATTTTCGAAGAAAATGGGAGTTGTAACATTTCTGCTCTTCACAAAATTCTGAAGCACATTGTTTAATTTGTCATATTTCCATCAATACAATCAAAAAACACAATAAGCTCAGCAGTCAATATGACAAATTCGAAGACCAACTTCGAACAGAAAATTCCCATGTGTTTGTATATTAATATAATTATACAACGACTTGGTTACTAAAAATCAATATCAATAATAATTCAAGCAATCCTATGCCACGCAAGGTAGTGCGAAATGTCTTGTCGAAAAAATCTGTCATTTGTTTTTTTACTGATCTATACATGAAATGATAAAAGTAACTTTTTTGCATTACTGGAATTAATTAAACATTCGTAAAGATCCAGATAAACCCATGATCATGTGGCCTCGTTAGTTAGAGTTGGTACTATAAAATCATTTCAGTCTGGCCTTAGTATGCTGGTGACACAAAAAAGATGCCAAACGCCAGGACGAATGTAATTATTAAAACATTCAGTTTATACTGAAGTATTTTTGTTAATTTTAGGTTCATATATTTAGATTAAGTTATTTTTAGTGTATGTATTATTCTTTCCTTATTCAAAGCTTGTTCAAAAATGATTTTGATGGTTGTACATAGAATTTTACGATTTTTTATAATAAATACTGTAACTTGCAAATGTTGCAATAATAGTGGAATGCAAATATTAATATGTAATTGCATTTGAAATTGAAGAAAATAATAAAACTTAATCCAACTGTTTAGTTGCATCACAATATATGAGCTATGTTCTATGAACATTTGTTCTTTTCTTTGTCTTGAACTTTCCATACTCCACAGCCCCTGTTAATTTTTTTTAATTTTAATTACCATGTGATGGTCATACATATCTTTAACTTGTATTTTCCGTCATGATGTATTATCTCAATGTGCCAAACTATTAATTTGTGTGCATATTTTGCTTCCAGATGACATAAATGTATTGTCATGTTTATTACCTCAGCTTGGAGTATTGACAAGAAAAAGGTGCCAGTAAATTAGGTAAAAAAATTTTCAACTCATTGTTATAATCAGAATTCACAATCAATAGGAATTATAAACAGCCAACAATCAGTGAGAATTATATGCGAAATCCCTCAGAATAAATTTGTCTAAAATCGGAGGAAGGCAAAAAATATAGGTAGTTTCCATTCACACAAGCATTTCAAGAAGACTTGCTCGAGCCAAACTAAATGAGCATCGTCAGGTGATCGGTAAGGCTGCAAGTTGAATTCAGCCCTGCAACCTCCTGCATAGAAGATAATATTAATTAGTGGGCTATGAGCTAAATTCCTAAATTTAAACAAACCTATCTACGATGCATTATGTACCAGCAATGTTACCTACGATTAACTGAATATGTAATATGTCTAATAAATTAACCTACAAAAGCAAGTTCGATAGGTGCAAACTTTGTGTTATGGAATTGTATCGCAGCACAGTTTTGTATGACACCCTCTTTAAATGAAATTTCAATGATTAAGCGCAAACATTAAAATTACTAACTTTGAACTTTGTCATTATCTGCAAAATGTTCCACACAAATCTTTCCGCTATCGCGTTTGTAATCTTCTCTGATAAAAAAAAACGTCTATGATGTCCAGAATTGCTCTTTACAGCTTGCCTGTTATTCCAGCTTTCCAAGTAAGCAAAACTTCTTAGATATAGAGATTATTTTGTTTCGTTACAGGCGCAAAAAGGCAGGTACTACACGTAAAAAAGACGCCGAGTAGCAAAAGCGAGCGGAAAACGGACGCGAAAGGCGACGAGAAATATGTGCATTGGAGCGTATCATGAAATACAATGTTTTGCCTGTAGTCTTATGGAGTGACGTCAGAGTTGCCTATACCATACTTATTCAGGTTACTACGACTACGGGGTTTTGTGATTTTTTAGACTCTCGGCAACACCACCAGCATCGGATCTGGTTAAGATAAGTCGATCGTTATGGCTGCTTTCGGTTCTGACTTCAAGACTTTTCGTCTTAGTTATTACAGTACTTAAGCCTGTGAGCAATATGTAAGTTAGAGGCATTGTAATTACATGTGTTTATTATCGGACACGTAATAACACACATGGATCGTTTTGTTCTTATTTATAATTGTAAATCCTGGTTGCAGTACCGATACTCAGGAAATTTGGATAACTGGATAGGATACCGGTAACTAATCCCATATCCGACTTTAAGTGGTAATCGGACGAGAGGTCAAGATTCGTCGTATTATTTTAGGTATTTTATTGGCTTCCCTCTCACCGGGATAAATATGAAACTTAATCCTATCCTAACGGATTAAATTGTCAGAAGTTGTTAACGGTACCGCTACTGTTTTCTACCGGTACCGTGTTTCCCCGAAAATAAAACCTAGCCCGAATTTTGAGATTGATTTCAATATAACCCCTCCCCTTAAAATAAGACCTAGTCAATATCGCAATTTTTTTTACCTGGTCGTTAGCAAGAAATCTCTCCCATACGTTTGAAATGATTAATCTAAAACGTATGAGATATGAAAACGTGTCATTTGAGTAAACAGTAGATGATTATCGGTTTTTATATTTGAAAATCTCCTAATTCTGTACTTTCTAATTTTATTTTTGATAAATAAAATTATTAAAATTACAAGACATCTCCCGAAAATAAGCCCTAGTGTTATTTTTCGAAAGAAAATGGAAATGGGACACCGTCTTATTTTCGGGAAAACAGGTATGGACTCGAATCACAGACTGATTTACCAAATATACGGAATCGATAATATTATTTTTTTTTATAGCTGTTGTTCTTAGTTCATTCTAAGTCAATTTTAGAACAAGAAGAATTCTGAATAAAATGGATAGATTGCCGAATATAATTGAATTGGATGACTCTGATCCAGAATTACCAGACCAACCTTCAACTTCTCATGATAGAGAAGATCTCACAACATCTCAAAATGCTTCACAAGCACTAAGTTTACCTGGCACAAGTCAAGCTTTAGATCAAAATCTTGCTCGAGGTCTGGATTACCTGATAGAAAAATCCCGTAAGCGTGGAGCTGTGATAGCTAACACCGTGGTTTTTAATCAAAACCAAGGTCAGTAAATCATTTTATATATTTTAAATGACCTACTCCGCTCAGCTGCTGGGAGATTCATGTATTATTGTATTTTCTTTTTAATTTGCAGGGGATAAAATAAAAACGGACTGCTACTTTTCTAAAAGTTCTGACATCTCAGTCCAAAAGGGTGATAAAAAGAAAAAACGTGATGATTCCTCATCTGAGGAAGATGCTCCTTCTACATGTTCAAATGGAAACAACCCAATTCCAGGTTTGTACTCTATTACAAGATAATATTTTAAATCTTCTTGAAGATTTATTTTCGGGGCAATGCCCAGCTTAATGATACAAGTCATTAGATACATTTATTTTTGAGGCATTTTCACAATGCTCAACATAAACACAGGTTTAGTATTCTCGTGAGAAATTTAATATAAAATGATGATACATTATATGCAATAAAAGACTAAGACTCTGGGCTGTGGCAAGTGTGGAATTGAACATTGATTGCTATTGTATGAATTATTTTCTGAATGAGCATTTATATATATATATATATTTGCAGACCTATTGTATAACGAAGTCATGATTTTTCATGATATGTTCACACTCTGAACAAAGCCTTGTATAAGTAGCCACTGATGTGAAGAAGCCACTGCTTTGGAAGGACCGGTATCTTACATGTTCTACATTGCCTGCTCTAGTTATTACTTCCTTGTTCAGGTGGTGAACATGGGATTTGAACCGAAAACTTAGTTATTTAAATTGCTTGAATCGTTGAAAAAAATGTAATTACCATGCTATTGGTTAGGGTGCAATGTCTCAAGAAGTATTTTATATTCCAGGTTCAATTCGTTTGACTGATACACTCTACATGCTTCATTACGAGTCCATTTCCAAGCTTGGAAATGTTAATAAGGGTGTGAAGATTTATGGAAAGTCTGGTCAATGTGATATTGCCGTGAAATCCTTGAAGTACAGCGAGGATAATGAGAGGGAAGCAAGAATTCTGGTCAAAATCAGCCCTCACCAGAACGTCGCCAACATTATAGATTCTGGTATTTATCACCTTGGCCCAGTCAAGCATATTTTCATTGCCATGGAACTATGTGGCCCCGACAATTTGACTAACTTCATAAAAGGTTCAAAACGAACCAAAAGAATCAAGCAGATACTCATCCAACAACTTGTAAATGGCATTGCCCACATCCATAGGAATAATGTCATACATCGTGATTTGAAACCTGATAATATCTTGGTATCAGATGATGGAACGCAATTAAAAGTGATAGATTTTGGTTTAAGCAAAGAAATGAAACCTGGTCATTCTGTCACCAAAGCCAGCGCTTTGGGCATTGGTACAGATGGATGGAGAGCCCCAGAGACATACAATGACAATATCATATCCAAACAAGCCGACGTATTCTCACTGGCCCTTGTGATACATTTCATTGAGACTGATGGGAGTCACCCATTTGGTGATAACCCTTTTGGATGGAGTTACCTTATAATGCAAAATCAAGGTTGTGACCTGAGCAAACTTGGAAGTGAGATAAGGGATTTAGTAGGCTGGATGCTTCATCGAATTCCAAAAGAGCGACCTACTTTGGATCAAATCCAACTGCATAAATACTTTGGTGGGGAACTGGTTTGCCCATTTCCTAACCTATGTAAGTCTTCTGTATTTGCTGTATTGAATAGTGCTATAATAAATAGAAAAAAGAATTTTTCATTTTAAGGTCTTAGTTATCCATTTGAATTTTCAGAGGTAGGAACTGATTGAATTATAAAATTGAATTTTCATACAATGGTTCATAGCTTATCCTTATACTAGAATTCGTTGATGGGTTTTTGGAGGGCATGCTGACCTTCTGTATTTGCTGTATTGAATAGTGCTATAATAAATAGAAAAAAGAATTTTTCATTTTAAGGTCTTAGTTATCCATTTGAATTTTCAGAGGTAGGAACTGATTGAATTATAAAATTGAATTTTCATACAATGGTTCATAGCTTATCCTTATACTAGAATTCGTTGATGGGTTTTTGGAGGGCATGCTGACCTTGCTGGGGTTGTGTTTTAACTTGATAACAATTCAAGATATTTATACCTGTCATGTAAAACCTTTTTAACCTTGGAATTACAAAACTGATTGAGATAAAAACGCTTTTTTGGCTTTGTATTGTAATTTCAGAATACCAATATGTCCTGTTATACCCATTCACTTAATTGTATTGCTTATGTATTTATTAGGCTTCAAGCAACCTCAGAGTGTGGAAGAACTAAAACGACAAAAAGATGAAGCAGAGAAAGAAAAGCAAGAATTGAAACGAAGCAGACAACAATTAGAGAAGATGATGCATCAACAATCTCAAGAAATGGAACAAACAAAGAAAGAAAATAAGGAATTGAGACAAAAGATAATAGGTGACAAGATGTTTTTTTGTTTTATCAATATGCAATTTGCACCCAATCAAGTATGGCAATTCAGTGATTCTAAATAATTTTCCCAGACTTACAACTAGTCAATCCAAGCTGATATTCTAGAAACTCTTCTTATTTTGCAAAACTCCAACACTTGAGCTGACTTATATTGTGGCCTTGGATTTTTCAAGCGTTGCATAGTAATTTTTCATATGGGGATCCAATATGTATACTATGTATGCGTTTATACAAATACCGAGATTTGCATATCGCATGGCAATAAATTATTCAAATGGTGGTTCTTGGCCATACTACCTAAAACCGCCATTTTCAGGCTAATTCTATCAAATAATATTTCAATTTTTAAATCTGAAATCCAAATGTCAACCAATACAATCATTGTTTGGAAAGGATGTCTTCAAAGATTGTGACTTTTATTAGCCACAGAATCCCAGATGTTATATTTGTTATATCAAGGTAAGCATCCTTGAGTTGGTGCAAGATTATCCTGGTGAGTGATATTTTGTTCATGCATTTTGATTGGTTTAAAAGGGCATGCAAACTGCGAAAATTGTGCGACCCCGCGGTGAAGTGCCAAAAAATAAAATGAAAAACTTACAATAAAAGTAAAATAAAAAAAATAGTTGGGGAAAAACATAAAAAAATGAAAAAAAATAAAAATAAAAACGTGAATAAAAAGGTTGACAATGATGGGTCGCCTTGAGGCCCGTCGTTGTCACGCGTTTTCATTTTGAAAAAATTTGCCTGGGTTTCTAACTCACTAGTCACTACTGATTTTCTTGAGCAATATTCAATAAATTCAAAACGAACTTGCATTCTCCACGCTACAAGTTCAACTAGAAGTAATATATTTAAAATAATGAAAAGAGAATATGGAATTGAGTACGAAAATTCAGGAAGTTTGTTTTTACGTGTTGAAGGTAATTGAATTGCTCAGTTGTCCGGACACTCTTGCGATACCTGTACCGTCTGACCGTATCTGTACCCATGCAAGCCCTTATGAAACGAATGGGAGATGCGTATAGTCTAGCTCAGGGGTCACCAAACTACGGCCCGCGGGCCGGATCCGGCCCGCGACGTCATTTTATCTGGCCCGCAATAACACGCAAAAATGGCTAAATTATTTTCAAAGGGAGATTTTCCCGAGCATTGTCTTCCTTGTTTATTTCGTAACATTGGCCGATCAGCACGTTGCAAAAAAAAAGTGACGTAATAATAGGCCTTTTCGCATCCGCTCAGACACTATTGTCATCTTGACAGATTTTCAGTCGTGGTTGTAAACAATATTTCGTTTTTGAGACTTTGAATGCTATACGTTAGTTTTTAATTGTGTATCGGAAACTTAAGTATAAGTCAAATAAGTCAATTATCATTTGCCTCCTTAGGAGTTGTAGTTTTAATAGTAGTAATGAAAAATTAGTCTAAAAATATAGCAGTGACAAAATAGGCTAAATTCTCTACCGGTACGCAACGTTTTCTGCGAAAGATGTATTTGTACACTCGTGGCGCGTGCTTTTCTACGAAACAGTTCACGTTTCTTGTGCTAAAATAAACGTCCAATGTGCATTTGCGCTAACAGTACTGTAATTCCTCGCGTACTGCTCCAATTTAACAAGTCACACTAACTTTTGTTCTGTCTAAATGCGGATATTCATGTAGTTGTGTTTCCAAAATATTGAAGTTCATCCGATATAGTTGTCTAGATATAGAAATCGTGTATATTTGTTTTCCTGGGATGTTCTCGATCTATATTCTGCGATATAGATAGAATTTAATATTCATGTCTTCAGAAATGTAGAATATATATTATTGTTGAATAAATTGAATGGATTTCCCAACTTTTGTAAATTTATTGTATTGCATTGACAAAAATATTCATCCGGCCCGTTTCAACACAGTTCGAGTCATACCCGGCCCGCGATCCAAAAAGTTTGGTGACCCCTGGTCTAGCTAGTAAAATATAGTGAATCGAGGGATGGATTGAGCGCAGCCAGTTACAGGTTGTTCGTAATATTAATTACCAGCATGGTACCGGTGATTGTAATTGTCATGGAGTCTTTTTCTCCCTCTTATCTTTCATTGTTTTAACGAAATTTCCCCAAAATCTCTTTTCTGCCATTATAATAAGTACCTGTATGGTAATCGTAATTTGTAATAACTGCAAAACTAAAATTTGAATAATCCACATAGCACAGACTTGAATTAATAGAAATGGACCGTGTGCATAAAGTAGCCTAGTTAGACTCGTCCGTTGGCTCTAGCCACTACTGTCTGATCGTACAACCACGAGGCTGGAAGGCGATTATGGTTAGACCTGATTTCAATGGAACTTGCATGTCGGTAGTGCATACGGTGAGGCATAACGTACGACATACCATACAGCCCTAACCTACCAATCCAGACAAATGATAAATCACGCGGGCTCAACCATTTATTCCACTCCATCCCTCGGGCCTCGATTCACCATATTCTACTAGACCAGAGGTCACCAAACTACGGCCCGCGGGCCAGATCCGGCCCGCGGCGTCATTTTATCTGGCCCGCAATAACAAGCAGAAATAGCGAATTTTTTTTCAAGGGAAATTTTCCCCGAGCATCGCCATGTTTATTTCGTAACATTGGCCAATCAGCAAGATGCAAAAAAGTGACGTATTAATAGGCCTTTTCGCATCCGCTTAGCTATTTTTGTTTTGTCACCCTGGCAGATTTTCAGTCGTGGTTGTAACTAATACTGATTTTGAATGCTATTCATTAGTTTTTGGTTGTGTTTGGGAAATTTAAGTATGAATCAAATACGTCAATCATCATTTGCCTCCATAGGAATTGTAGTTTTATGAGTAGTAATGAAAAATTAGTCTAGAAATAGCTATGACAAAATAGGCTATAATTCACTACCGGTACGCAACGTATTCTGCGAAAGGTGCACTCGTGGCGCGTGCTTTCGACGAAACTGATTACGTTTCTTGTGCTAAAATGAACGTCGAATGTGCATGTTGCGCTTACAGTACTGTAATCCCTCGCGTACTGCTCCAATTTCACAAGTCTGCTTTCGTACTGCTCAAATGCGGATATTCATGTAGGTATGTTACAAAAAAATTAAAGTTTATCCGATTCAAATAAAAATTGTGCCAGTGGATCTGAGTGAAAATAAGAAAACAATACCAAGTTTATAAAAAACGATCAAGAAATTACGGAGATATCGGAATTTTAGTACCACCAGACAGGCCAATTTTTTCCATAAGGATTGTATTACTTTTTTCATAAGAACTGTAATAAATATGAAAAAAGGACACATACTAATCACTAGTCTTCCGATCTGCGTCACATCTATGGAATATTGAGACTATTTCAGGATTTTATTCTGACAACGGTCTTGTAAGGAAAAAAATACACACGTCCACATAAATTTTATTGCTGTCCGTAGACAATATCATTAAATCTATACTACGTATAAATAGAGCGTAATTTTTAAAAGCTCCGAATGTTGGGAAATTTATGCGCTAATGAAAAAAATCAAATACCAGATAATAGTTTTTTATTTATGTCAAAATTTCATGGAATGCCATGCTACAGCAGGCAGTCTGTAGTCGTTTTTATGAGCGGTATTCCGACACGGCGTAACCGTACTTAGCATACGTGATGCGTACATTTTTTGGAGCGAAAAAGTGGATTTTGTAACATTCCTAATTCATGACTGCAGCGTTTTGATAACAACTAAACTCAGGATAGTTGTCTAGATATAGAAATCTTGTATAATTGTTTTCCTGTGTGTGTGTTCTCGACCTATATTTTGCGATACCGGTATAGATAGAATTTAATATTCGAGTCTTCAGAAATATAGCATATATATTGTTGAATAAATTGAATGGATTTCCCAACTTTTGTGAATTTATTGTATTGCATTATTGCATTGATAAAAATATTTGTCCGGCCCGTTTCAACACAGTTTGAGTCATATCCGGCCCGCGATCAAAAAAGTTTGGTGATCCCTGTACTAGACTATCCGTATCTCCCACTCGTTTCATGAGTGACTGTATGCTGGGTACCGGGTACGATCAGACGTATCGGTCTTGCACGAGTGTCCGGGCAACTGAGCATTCAAGCAGCATTCTCCAATTCAATTACCTTCTGCACGTAAAAACAAATTTCTCGAATTTTCGTATTCAATTCAATTCTATATTCTCTCATCATTATTTTAAATATATTAGTTCTAGTTAAACTTGTATCATGGAGAATTTATAGAACATTTGCATATCAAATTTATTGAATATTGCTCAAGAAAATCAGTAATGAGTTAGAAACCCAGGGAACACCGTTTGTGCGTGTAGGTTTATGCATGACAAGATTGGTCCCAAGCCGAAGAAAATTTTTTTTAAATAAAAACGCGAGACAACGATGGGCCATGAGGCGGTCCATCGTTGTCAACCTTTCTATATTCTTTTTATTCACTTTTTTTTTTTTTTTGCTTTTTTGTATTTCGTTTTTATTTTATTTTCGTTTTTATTTTTAATTTGAATTTTTGCATTTCATTTTATATTTTATTTTCATTTTTTTTTTTAACTTTTTTTAATGTTTCTTCACAACTATTTTTTTATTTTACTTTTATTTTAAGTTTTTTATTTTATTTTTTATTTTTTTCAATTTCAAGCGTGACAACGATGGGCCACAATCAATCCTGTTGCAAAAAACACAATGTTATAAAAACGTCTTTCTCACTGAATTCGTTAAAGTCGGTGTGACACTAAATTTTTAACAGTTTTCTTTAGAAATTGCTGAATTGTTGATCAACTGTAAATGCTGTAAGATCAACAACAAAAGGAAATTTTTTGTGCTTGCAACTACAGTAGAAACTCAACCGACAAAATTAATTCGTTTCGGAAGTCCTTTCGTAGGTCGAAAATTCCATAAATAGGGACACATTTTACCTGTAAATGCCCTAATTCGTTATAAGCCCCTACAAAACTCAGACATAATATTAATATGAATCATAATAATGGTTGAACCCGTAACCACGAAAGTTTATTTTTGGCGTTGGCCGACTAGACTAAGCTAAACGAAACCTCGGCGGGTAGGAGGACAGCGGCCGGAGGAGTTGACCACTGAGAGAGGAAGTAATGTCTGAAAATGAGCACACACAGCAAATTCAAAACTTTTTATTCATTTTTTCATTGTATCATCGTCTTCTCGTTGAAGTTCGCTAGCAACACATTGTACATACCCATGGAAACAAACCGGCTGATGGCCAGATAATTTATAGACGCCTTCGAATTTGATAAAAAAGGGAATGTAAAATATTTTAAATCAAAACATGGACGGCGGCGCTAGGATATGTGCGAGTGCGATATATTTGGTATTCTTTTAAACACGAAAAATGGTATTCGAAGGTAGCGAAATTCGGATATTAAATTCTAATTGGACATCCCTTCTTCAAGTACAGCATTAAATTAACTTAAAATAAACAAATATCATTACACGAGTTTTTTTCAAGTTTTTGGCTTTTCGTATGTAAAAGATCTTGCGTTTTAGCCAAAGCAATATTTTACGAGAAGAATTTTCGTAAATTGGATTTTTCCAGAGCTTTCGTAGGTAGAGTTTCTAGGTGCGACATGCGGCTTCACCTTGTATCTGGCACTTATGTAATTAAGTTTGCACACTCCTGGTTCAAAGCATGCAGGCCACAGAGTTCCATGTCGTGTTGAATCTATTATTACAATGTTATTTTTATATCAGAAAAATGACTTTGACAAATTTTTGGTAAACCTACCCCCAACCACCCATTGCACTAATAATTTGAAAAAAAAAAGCATTTCTATTCTAATAGCATATGGTTTGGGGTTCAAATTGGCAAGCTTTAGAGAGATTATGCAGCAACAAGCGAATAGACTTATTTTAAATGCAAATAGCAGTATATCAAATACAAATTATATCAGTTTTAGGTTGAAATTAGTGAGCTTTTTTGCGAAAATTAGAATATATACTGAAAGTAAAAGATTAACACAGCAAACTTCTTGTTACCTCAGAATATAAATTTCATTATATTAAAAAAAGTTATACTAACCCACCTGCCCTGGAATTGGATATTAATACTGAATGATTGACTGGCTTTTTAATAATAGAGTTGCTCCTAATAAGGCTGCAGACCAGTAGCCATCCTGGATGTGCAAATCTACATTCCCAAGCCAGGCATTGTCAACCCCAGTTAGAGTTATGACCTAACTTGATAATGAACAAGCTGTAAGAGTGTTAGATATTTCAATTATTTGGGGGTTATGATAGGACTCAGTTGTATCTGGGGTTTCCATAGAATTTAATGAAAATAAAATCAGTGTTATTCAATGAAGACATACCATAGTTAAGGAATTCTGCAATAATAAATTGATGTTTTTTAATAAAATGTTATTTTTTAGACAACTCTGAAAAATGAAGTTTGTCATTCTTATTAATTTTTTTAGAATTTATCCTAATTCAGAATATATGTAGGCTAAAAGAAATGAGTGTAAATCTATAGACAATATAAATACTGGTTTGATATTTAACATAGTTAGGATATAGGTCACATCAACTCCACTCGAGTTTCTGGTACTTATGATTTAAAAGTAACAGGTTAAAACCAAATGAACCAATATCCAGTTGGTGATGACACAGTGGTTGAAGTATTGGGCTTAGCCGTTGCCATTTCAGATTACACCTCCCGGGTTCAAATCCTATGGCGCCACCCAGGGTGTAACAGATTGGGCAGGCAATACCGTCACTTACAGACAGTGTTCCGTCCAAGGTGTGCGCGCGCACATAGCTTTCAGAGGCTGCGCACACGCATAGATTTACTGCGCACAGACGTATTTCGATCTAATGTAACAATGTTCTCGGTTGGCAGGTTGAGAAAGTTTGTTGTTGGCCCACCCATTTCCCGGTTAGAACGGCAAAATTTCTTTATTGGTTTTTTCACAAATATTAGTTCTTTCCAAAAAAGTGCGCACACACCAAAATTTCTGCGCACACATACTACAAAAAATTAGAGGGAACATTGCTTACAGATAATAGTAGATTCTGACAAAATATTCAATATTACTCATATGCAAAAGCATTAGTAAAAATGTATTACATGATTTGAGCCTAGCACTGTCGTGGGGGCTTATAAGATATCATGAGGGCTTATATATATAATATTACAAAATGCCCTATCGTTTTATTCTAAGCGTAATCAGAATCATGTCTTGTGATCATCCTCCACTAAAATAATTTTCAATTTACAGAATCTCAGTCTTCAAGTCAAGCTAGCTCATCTGGTCTTAGAATCATCAACCAACAACCACCTGATGGAAGAATGTCAGTGGAAGAGTTGGATGAACCACTGCCAGGATATGGACTGATGGGCACTCTTGTCATCACCTACTCATTCCCTGCTGGAAGTCTGAATGTGAGTCATGCAATGAATTCAGTTGGTTTTGGTTGAATATTAAATTATGTATTTACTGTAACTCAGATTTTTTTTGTATTAATTTACATTGATTCTATGTTTAACATTAAATCTTCCAAATACAATTTTCCTGGCCCCCGAATAGCAATTGAATTCTAATTACACCTTTTGTTATTATATTGTTCACTTCAAACATGGCTCTGCACAAGCAACCGCTAATGCAGAAGAAGCTAATATTTTTGGACGGAATGTAATATTTTCGTTTCGGCATTACCTACTCAAGGTATTACATTCTGGATAAGGCAGTGGGCATGGGACTCGAGACCTTCAAACTATGATCCAACATAGCTAAGTCCAATGCTATAACCACAAGGCCATCACAACACCTTAGTGCTTAGATGTTCTAGAATTTTCTTCCGATGTTTCCAGAAAGCAGTTTTTTATGTTGGTTTAATGGCCCCTTGCAGAATTTACCTCTACCAGTGCTGATGTCCGAAATAAATGAATATATATTCACAATTGTTTATATTACATAGAGCAAATTCTTGATTTGAGGTTTTCATTTCAAAATTTGTCTTTTAAAGCATTTGATTATGGAAGGAAATCGTATGACTTTCTTTAAAGCCTGACATTGCAAATTGCAAAAATCAATCCTAGCTGTGTTTATATCAGTTATTCTGCATTACTGAATTAAATTTCCACATATGTAATTGTACAGTGATTTTCACAGACTCTTGTTGGACATGGCCCAATTTAGAATATATTTAATATTGAAAAAAAATATTATTTAAGACTTTATATGAAATAGTAAAATAAAACATACACTCCTACCTATTTCATTATACACCGAGTAATGTGCTTGAATCCAAGATTTTTAACCTGTGATGCCAACGTAGTTTGGCTACTTCTCTTAACATTAATCTTCAAATCCCAGATCTACGGTCTCACCAACAATGTATATAAGTTGGCAAGCAAAGCTCTGCCTGAAAAAATGTTGGTCCTTTGGTTTGTACTAAATAACCTCTTACATATCAGTGAATTTTTTGTGTGTCAGTAATATGTTAGTGTCATCATATTCTAACACTGCTCCCAATCATAGATATATTATGTTTGATTTCTTTTTTGAAAAATTAAAACTGTTTTTTAATAAATGTTATGTGAAATCAACTCTGAACAAGGTGCCACTGATTATATGTTTCCTGAGGATATTTTACTTGTTTGCACATGTAAAACATCTTTGGCTCAAATGTGTTCCCTCCTCCTGATCTAGAAATCAAATGTTTTAATAGTCAATGTTTAGTGAGAAAGATTCCAATCGTTCAATTAAGGTATTTACGTATCAGTGCCTGCTTGTTTTGTGCCTTGTTCAGAGCGACTATTTGAGAACATCCCAACTAAAATCACATAAAAATGCTTTTGCAACTGTTTGCTTCTGAGGAATCGTTGAATTTATTCGAAACGATTCTGAGTTGCAGAAATTTTAGTTCAAAACTTTTAGAACTCCAGAAGTATGCACACCAAGAGGGCGCACAACCTGAACATAGTATGTGTGTACTGGTTAGGATTCAGGTTGTGTGACATCTTGGTGCGCATACTTCTGGAGCATCTGGTGTTTATATCAGTTTTAACAAATTATCAGAGATAGAAGTTGAATAACTTATTATGTTTATTTTTGCAGGGTGTTTCATATGAGGCAAAGGAATTCACTGAATATTTTCCTGAATGGCCTGTCTGTGAGAAGTTACTGAGGAAAGCATTCAATGCAGGATTGCTCTTCAAGATTCAGATAATTGGAAGCAGCAGAGGAGAGATAATATGGAATGATGAAATTCCTCATAAGACTAACAAACATGGAGGTCCAGATAAGTAAGTTCTTTAGTTGAATAATCTGTTATAATTAAAAGAAACCTCGAGTGAGTTATATGAAGTAACGATGTAATAAAAAATTAGTTCAAACAGAATTTGAGATTCAAGATTTTTGAAATATGAATTGCAAAAATTAGGTTCAACCAAAGCAATATTTATTTTCCAAACTGACCTTCCATGCAAAGTTAGATAAACGGACTTTCACACAAAAAGTCATGATTTGTATTAAACACTGTTTTTCAAACTACTATTTATAAATCAAAGAAAGGCATGTTTGGGTCGCAGTTTTGATCCCATAACCTTCCATCCAGCTTGTGACATTTGTAACCACTCAATCACAGATATAATGCCTCATCCTAGGTAAAATCAAGTACAACGTTCTCAACTTTCCTCTCTTAATTTCAAGCAACATTTAAATTTGTTTATACACATCTTTTATACACCGTTCAATTTGAACAAGGCTATATATAAGAAACCATCGCACCCATCAAATTTCAGTTGATGGGTGAGGGATGGCCAGGAAGCGTTCTTTCTATTCCTGATATATATTGACCATGATTTGTCATGCTGTTGCAAAATGTTAGGGTGTATGTGACTGAGGGTAATTTCTTAAGGACAATCAGAATCGACCATTATGGTATTCAGGATTGAATTGTCTGCAACGTGATTGTAACCAGGTTCAACGACCAGCTGTTGTTTACTAGGTTTCTCTGTTGTCACATCTGTCATTGGAATTACGGTTGCCCAATTTTGTAACTATTTTATCCGTATTCCAGTAATGACTAAATTTTCTGCTTCTCTGTTGTCAATATTTCATTGGGCATCCAACATATAAATTATAGTTACAATTACACTGCTTATTCTTAAAATTCTATTATAAACGAGATCTTTGAGTTTTTATATATACGACGCTTATCCACACATTTTGCTGTGAACAAAGCCCTGTTTAAGCTTCCACTGATATGTAGCAATATTTAAGGAGCTACCAATATTTGGCAGAACTAGTTTCTTTTTGATTCGGCATTGCCTACCCAATATTCGTATACCTAATGTTTTGGGTAGGGTGATGGCCATTGGATTTGAACCAAAGATGTACAGTTTGCGATGCCAACCCAATTAAGTTTAACGCCTCAACCATTATGCCATCGCGCATCATGAATATATATTTTATTTGGTGTTTTTACAACTTCGGTTTGATCAGTGCTCTGTTCAAGCAGACAATAAGACTTTGGGGCATTACTCGGTTTCAAAACTCTAAAATAATCAATGTTCGACGAAGCCTTCCCTGCACCATGGATAAGTTGTTGGGCTTACAGTATCAATGAAATCAAATACCTGAAAAAAATACCTGTTCAGACATTCATCTCTACCTACGAGTGAAGTTGACTTGACATTCTTTTTACACATCTAAACCTTACATTCAAATCTCACTCACACGGGCATCGCTAAGTTAAGCGTTTCTTAGTACTAAGGAGTCAAATATTTGTGACTTTCATTGTTCTTTTATCGAACATCTTATTTTTCAATTGAAATCAGACTCATATGCATCTACCATTATCTCTCATGCAATCTAATCTTTTTCAGCAATGGATATCCTGACGATGACCATGAGATTAATCTTTGGCATGCAATGATAGCAAAATTAAAGGCAGCAGGAATTGAATTACTAACAGTAGATGATCAACAATGGACGTTCAACACTATCCGGACAATACTATATTAAAACTCATTCATTGATTTTGTAGTGTCATTATCAAGCCATTTATAAATATTATAAAGTTTGGTGAACTGCAATATCAGTCTGATTGACTCAGATATCTTTAAAGGACATTTTTTATATCTCAAGGCAATTTTCAAGATAAAACAGCAAACTTTGGGAGTACAGTGGTAAAAAATAAATTTCTGTCAACACCAGAACAGACCCTAAATTGCCTGAACGGGCTGGAAAATCCATCTAAACCTACCGGAACTACTTGTAGCTATCTTGTAAAACTTGTGTAGGAATTGAAAGTCTGCGGAATCAGATACTTACAGTACATAATCAACAATCGACCTTGAACACTTCGTAGACAATTTAATATTAGAACCCCTTCATTGATTTTATAGTGTCAATATCAAGCATTTTATCAGGCCACTTACAAAATATTATATAGTTCAATGAACAGCAATATCAGTCAGACTCGTCCTTGTGTGTTTAAATCAAACTTTATTCTGTCAATTTGAGAATGATCAAGAATTGTATGTGTCAATATTTTTCTAATATGCTAATTGGCCGAGTTTTCAAAACCTACAATTTATCTTTTCTCAATTTTCCATCGATTTTGATCTGTTTTATCCTTTTATTATTAATCAACTCCATGATAATTATGCATATATGTAAATATTTAATTGTATTTCATCTACTGTATGAACAAACATTTAAATCAGTTCATCCTTCTACTTCTGGCTAATTCCATCCTAATTACAAGTTTCAGTTGCGTTTTTCAGTATTTTCTCTCGTACTAGTATTTTGTTTTGTTGTTAATTTATTAATTTATTAAACTCATGCTTTTGCTTACATTTACCTATTCGTAGATTGATTTCCAGACTCAGGTATTGTTGTTATGCTGATTTGGGAGTCAAAATATACTTTGTTTGCATATTTGACCCGTTTTTATATATTTTATTCTACCACTGTTATTCAGTTCCATCTCAATTACGGTATCATACTGGATAATGAAGTTTCAAGACTTTGCAAAAGTAAAATAGCATTTTTATATTCATTGAAAAAAATGATGCTTTGAGTCAAGTTTTTGAATAATTCTCACAAGTTTTACTTTAACTAACTCAGTGATTCCCAAACTGGAGTCCGCTGACCTTTTGGGTTCATGAAGCACTTTGGAGGATCCGCTAAAGAAATCTATTATGTGGCTTATAGCTTGAGATGATACAAGAATTGAGTGCTCAAATTTGCAAATAAATACACATTTGTCGTCTTTTGCTGCTTTGTAATCAGTGCTGGAGACCCTGATTCTTTACATACTCTTTCTATTATGCCGCCCCATTGTGATGTCACAGAGATGTGGGTCAGTGATAATTGCGATATATAAGTTTTGTATTTATCCTGGCGAGAAGGCTAGTTGAGCACTCTGTTATCAGCCCGTTACCGAAATCAGATCTATGTTCAGATGTATCATGAATTTGCTTGGCAGGGGGAGCTGTAACCAACCAGATAATCCCACCATAATAGCCTCCATTAGTTTTTCCAATGTCTTTTTGTAAACCATATGCTTTAACTATATTTGAGCGGTCCCTGTATAATTTTGATTTATAAAATACGCAATTCAAATGGTCCACTGATTATTTTTCAATATATTTATTCAATATTTTTTCTTTGCAAATTCGACTTCATTAGCCATGATTGGAGTGCGACTATATGTGACTTTATTTTGCCTCATGGGAGATCCATAATCGCTATTCCAATCACTTATCATTTTAAAATTTAATCATGGTTCAGCAATTTACATTGATTTTATATTTCTTGCTATATTTTGATATCACTTTCATATTTACTTCTGCTGGCAAAAAATAAATATTTAAATTTAGATCTCGTATTTCATTGTTGTCAATTAAATAATTCAGATATGCAATTTTTTTAGACAAATCCCCTTTTACAATTACTTATTATCGTATTTATTTCATTCATTTGAATGTTAATGTTACGAGTCACTTGTACATAATACATGGATAAATCTGTTATGCGACATTGGTTGATTTATCAACTCTGTCTATCTGTAGTAGATTGAGTAATTCTAAATATTAGTATTTTTCAATGTTACAAGATTATAATGTTAATTTCCTATATGTTTATTTTCATTTCATGTTTTTGTTTTCATAGTAATTCATATTTTGCTAATTCTTATGCAATTAATAATACTATAAGGCTATTGTTTATTCATAATACTAACTACTTATGCAAACAATTTGATGTATAATTTACCCTTTTGACCAGTATTTTACCTATTTTTTAGTAATTAGTTATTCCTATCTACCAGGAATTGTCCCTAATTACCCATGCATGGCGTGTATTTTAGTTTAGTGGTCTTAGTTTGTTTTAGTCATTTTCATTTGTAGAAGAAAATTGTCATTATTATCAGCTGTAATACTAGCGGGAATTTTGTTTTATTAATTTCAGCTGTTGAGATGTACAAAATTCCAGTTGGAGCAGATTTTAATTTTGCATCTTAGCATTTCATATATGGCCTGTTTCCATTTAAAACATTTTGTCTGCATCGGTGTGAATGCATTTTTGTGATATGTGAAGATAATTAATTGTATAATATTAATTTCATATTGACATCTGTTAGCAACAACTAATTATTTTTATATTTTTCCTCAATTAATTCTCCATATTTAATTGTTGTGAATTACATAATTTAAATACGAAATTTTTGCCAAATGCACCTCAAGGTTATAATTATTCTTGTAGTAATTCCCAAGATACTTGAAGCCTGTTAATTTCTAGTATGCAATTGAGTTACCTTTAAATGCATGTAATTTGTAATTTGTTTTCGAAAGTATATAAAAGATAAATTTAAATTTCATCGCATATTCATGTGAAAGCATTTGAATTTTTTCAAAGCCGTGATAAGTATAGTTATGTTTTTAAAAAATCGTAGCTGCTTTAATGAAATTTATTTGAAATAAAAAGCTTGGAACAGAATTTAAAAACTAGAATATTCAAAAATACCCATAATATCTTGTTTGACTGATAATCGTAGATTTTGAAGTCAAATTTTATGATTTAGAAAAATACTTGTGATTTAGTGGAAGCTCACTTTAGTTTATTGAAAAACTTCAATGCGTGTTATGTATCATCATATTTACCCATAATAAATTATTTGACTTTCAGTTGTCTCTTCGATGTTGGATGATTTTATTTTATATATAGTGTTTGACTTTTCTCTCCTAACAACTCAGTATGGAAAGAAAATGGTGCCACAGTTCATGCTTTCAGTCTACCCAATATCCACCCCCAATGTGGTGGTGGGTAAAGGCTTGTATTTAACTATATATCTCCATCTTTGTTTAATAAAATTCACATGCTCATATTTTATTTTTTAATATATTGTTAACAAATATCACCAAAATTTTAACTGATCATTGCCATATTGCCGTTAATATCTTCATGAAACACCCACAAACAAGCACAAGGTTGACCTGTCCACCTTAATTAAATCCCATGACAATCGTTCTATCACTGGTTTTATATCAAGCTTTGTAGTTTCGAGGCCCAGTGAACCCATCACCACCGCTGATACTCGCTCAACTGGATTCATTTATTCGAATACAATTGGAATTTATTTTTAAAGTTAAAGCTTGAAGCAAACTCAAGAGGGCCTAACTAAGATACGAAAATATAGGTTGATTTTCATTCACCTGTAAATGTGTTTAAACGAGATGCACGGATACGTCTGAAATTTCAATATGTTGAAGTGACATACCGAAACTGCTTTTACGATTTAGTAATCAAGGACTAGGACGCAGTAAAAAGTCGTTACATATACTGTCTATACCAGTGATTTTCAACCGGTGTTCCGTGAGAGAGGCCTTCATGTGTTCCGCGTCAAATGATAGCCCAAAATGTGTCATGTAATAAACGTTTCCTTGGGAACGGAATTCCTAGTTTATTTCAGAAACAATAGCTAAACAGCAAAGGTGACGGAAAGGCAATAAATGAAATTTAATCAGACGCTATTTCCAGCATGACTCTTTTTCATAATATAGGTTTAAATCAAGCGGTCATTTTGTCCTCCTATAAAATAAAATTGCCTAAAGCTGGGTCACGTGCAGAAACCTTGGTTTAATCGGAGTATCGAAGCAAAAAAACGATTCCGAAACTGCTTGGATATATTACTGGACTAGGTTCAGTATTTTATTGGCAGCTGCTCAGTTTTTTGGGAACAAAATATTGATTTTAACACAGTTTGCGAATGCGAGCTCGTAGAATACTCCTAAAAGAGCACAAAAGGTAGTCAATGGTTGAAGTGCAAGGAGAAATTTTCAGACGTGAAAGAGTCATTTTATTCACGTCTAAATATCAGAAACACTAATAAAACTGATAAAATAGCACATAGTCTGAGCGACCGCCTAAATATCAATTTTAACGATGCTGGGGAAACAATAACGGTCATCACCAAGGCGACTTCTGAAATACCAGAATCTCGTCAACAACATTTCCAATTGGTATTTCAGCTTACTTTTGTTCTCTGTAATCATCAATGGGACATCGAAGTTTGATTTTTATATTCCCGGCAGTACTACACGCCGGCGACAGATGTTAAAGACAAATATCAAGGAGTGAATTCAAAATAATTTTATTCTGATTTTTATCTTTTGTATTAGCTTTGATTTTTTTTAACCACTTTATCACCAAATTTTATGCGATCAAATTTATCATTACCAACACTGGTAATATATTTAAGAAACGATAGTTCACTTTTTTAAAATCGTATTAACGTATTAATACGACTTTCGTATTAAATAAAAATTCCGGGTTGCTAATTTATTAATCAACTACAAGCGTATTCTCTCGTTTGATTATACTTTCGCTTGCCTCGCGACGAAGACTTGTTATTTCACCGTTTTTCACAATATCCGACTTTACTACTTAGTTAGCATTTTATAATAATTATTGATGCAGACTTATTGACGATATTCCGAATTCCATGCTTCATTTTACATTAAATCATTTCGCGGCCTAAAAGTTATAACATTATTTGCGATAAATTTAGATCAAATATTACTTATATGACATGCCTTCTCCGAAAATACAAAGTTATATCGCAAAACAATGCATTTTGTGACATTTATTTTGCAATTATGAAAATATTAATTCATTTTTCTAACTCAAGTCGACAATCCTATTTGCCAAGATTGACACAAGTTTGGTTGAGTGCCGGTGGTATTCGAGTCGACGACAAATCAAAATAAGTTGCCGCATTTGGTAAAGACAGGTAATCATATTTGGCCGACAAATTGCGAGGCATTGTAAAAGACATATTGAGCAAGGCCAAGTCCGGACAGATATATGACGATAAAATCGGTAACAGAACATCAAGATTTTACAATAGAAAATGGATCTCGCGCAGAATAAACACGGGAAATCCCGTCGTATTTGTTGTTTCTCTGCCGTCTCAATCGCTTCACCGATGCCGAAAATACTAAGTTGCGTTGGTTCATTACGCAATTTTCCTTCCGTCTTTAAATTGCTGTTTGATAAGCGCGACATTAATTATCACGGCATTTACAAATAGACCATGTTTTATAAGTTGATCTCTTACATTCTTTAGTCATTTCACCCGAAGAAGTTGAAACCAGGTGTGTTGACGTCCATCGGTCTCAACACAATTCTATTCCTTATCTACGGTTAATATATTTTTTCTTTGTTAATATGTACATTGGCCATCCTAAACAAGGTGATATTAGGTTAGTAAATGACGCGTTATGCCTTCCCATCTGCCTAACAAG